TGCCCGTGCCGAGGCTGCGGGGGGAGGCGAGTCCGCCTCCTCCGGGACTCGTTATCCCGGGTTAGACTCGCATCGGAACAGGCCCGTGGGCGTGGCCATGGGGCAGGTTGAACGGGAGTGAACTCGGGTTAGCTGCGATTGTGCGTCCGTTCGGACTTACCAGGGAAGACCCGGGATCAAATGTCGTATCCCGAGATAAAATGGTATCTATCTCAGGATAAAAACCCCTGCCCCCGGGTAACCCCTGGAGGCTCCTTTTAGCATAAAAGGGCCCAACGCTTCCCATAGCCTTGAAATACCTAGGGCCTAGTGCTGGGCAACCTTAGAAAGTTAGGCTAAAATCAGGGGTTTGTGAGGCAGGGATGGGACTGGTATCGGGATGCAGCACAGCTCTGTGCGTGCTGGGTTTAGCGGGCAGCAAAGTCCATGTAGTGATGATGGTTCCTGAGCACCGTCTGAATTGGAGTAAATCGCCAGCACTGAGCGTGGGACAAGAGGCTTGTCTGGCTGTGAGGCCTGGGGTTTGCTGCAGGACAAAACTCCCATGCCAATCAAGCCGGTTGTCTGTTTTTAGCCCTTGAAACCATCTACTCCCGACCAGCTTCACAGTGGGGATAAACCAAGGGAATAGGATCCGGTTGCAAAGCAGGCAGCCAAGCCAAAGCCTGTCCATGCTGTGTGAGCAGTTTATGCCATTAACCAATATGTGGGCACCCGGAGCTTGTTGCAGTACAGGCAGTCAGCAGCATGTTCAGTCTCATGCTGTTCGGCTATGAAGTAAATGTACTTATCCATATGTATGTGCCCAGGGTTTATGAAAGGGAGTATGTTTTAGGGCACCTGAAGCAACAGGGACACTAGTGATTTTCTCCCTTGGTGTTTCAGAAGTTGACAACTGTATTCTGAAAAAGCAGGGGGGTCTGCTCTGGTGGGTGTGGGCTGGGGGAGGGAGCCAGGCTGAGGGGAGTTTCTTGCAGCACTTTGCAGAACAGGCCAGTGTATTGCATGCTGCTGGCAAAAAAAAATTGTTTTAATATATTAAGAGACTGCTTTTACTATGTGGGAAGTGTGCAGTTCTCTGGAAGTGAAATGGAAATGCAGAACTGGAAAAAAAGTTGATTTTCAAATGTGTATGTGAATATTGTTTTGGGGTTTTTTTTAAGTCTTCTATCAGATGGTTAGGCTGTGCTGACAGTTATTGTCTGGATGTCGCAGAATCCAACTCTTCCCCAATATTTGTTGCTGAGTTGCTCCCTCCCTCCCTCCAGAGAAACTAGATAGAAAGTCTTGTACCTGTAGGCAGTACCCCCAGTATTCGATATCCATTTGTAAATGAATAATTGTTTATCTAGAGCTTATCTGTTCTGCAGAGCCTCTGCTGATAAAGCTATGCCAGCAGAGCCTGAAAGAATTTCTGCTATAGTAGCTATGCAAGCATCTCAAATGACATTTGCTAAGCTGAGCAGCACTTTTCTACTGATGTAGTTGCATCTCCACCTGCAGTTTTGCTAATATAATTGTGTTGGCTAATATTTAAAAGCCAGATTTTTTATCACTGGTCTTTGTTTTCCTCTGTATTATCAGACTACCTGTTCCATCCTGAATATATTCAATTGCTGCAACAGAAGTATGGGCTGCAAGGTAGATGGCAGAGACCTAGCCTTCTGTGTATAACCTGTGTAGCAGGTTACAAACTTTCCACAAAAATAAGACAGACAGACACTTTCCTCCTCCATTTTTACACAGTTAAGGCTCAAACTCAATATTAAGCTTTGATTTTTTTTTCTTCATCTGAAGTGCATTCTACTATATGTGGCATATTTGCATAGTTGAAAATGTCAGTCCATTAATTACATGGAAAGAGCTAGTAGATGATGCTTAAATTAAAAAATGTGTTAACCCCAAGAAAATAAAATTTATTTTTATTGTAGATTATATAGACATAAATGACAGTTGATATCTGTCTTCAGGTCATACATAAAATTCTTCTTATCACTTTTAAGTTTGATTTTGAGTTACTTCCCTGAGATTTGGCAAACAGAATTTCTTTCCTATTCGACGGACAAGGTTCTTTGGGTGAGTCTGATATATTTTATTAGACCAACTTAAACAACCTACACTCCTGTTTCCTATTTGATTTATTTTTCTAGTTTGTTTCTAAAGTGCTAGTAAAAAAAAAAAAAAAAGAAACAGACTTGAAAACCCTGAAATATTAGCACTGGTAGATGCATATTACTGTGGTGTAATCCATCTCTAAGAGTAATAGGTAAGTTTTGCCAATGTTGGCTTGTTGGTCAGTATTGTGATTTATTTCACCTTTTCCTGTCCACTTCCCCTGCAATGACAGTCATACTCGTGACAGCAGAAGTTTTAATATAGACGTAACCGTAACAGCAAAAGTTTGCCTGCTGGGATAGGCTAGTTTTTGTTTGGAGACCAGTTTAAACTGCAACAGCCAGAGCTCTCTTGTAGATATATGGTGCACCTTCACAGTAGAGGATTGCTGGTACCGTCCAGCCCTTGTGAACATGCATAGATGAGGCCTAAGATCTAGAATT